CGCTGATTCGATTCCTGTCTCCTCCTTTCTGGGCATAGCATTGATGGCCTGAAAAGAAATTCATTTCTGAAAGCCTTCCCCTACTAAGACCTTGCGATCAGAAAATAAATAAACCATTGTTTATCTGGCCTGTGTTAGGGCTTGAATTCACTTAGGAAGTAAACATCGGGGGGCTATTTCATGGGGGGACACCGTGGTGGCTCCACGATCCCTGGGTAATGTCAGCCCACAGCTGCAGCCAGCTTATTCCTAGCCTGGGGAGTTGCCATGGGGTGAAAAATGCTCAAGAATCAGGTGCCTCAGACCCCTGTGTTTTATCCAAAATGGCTGTCTAACCAGCCATTTGAGAAGCTTGTCTCTTCTCAAGCAAGTCACAGTGGACTCCCACGTGTTCGTCTCTAAAATGACAGAAGAGGACAAGTTCAGTTTAGGAAGCCCATGCATTCACCACACAGACATGGCCTGTGGGATCGCCCAGTAAGGCTTCTCATGGTATTGTTTTGTTTTGAGATGGAGTCTCGCTCTTGTCACCCAGGCTGGAGGGCAATGGCGTGTCTTGTCTCACTGTAACCTCCACCTCCCAGGTTCAAGCGATTCTCCTGCCTCAGCCTCCCGAGTAGCTAGGATTACAGGTGCATGCCACCACGCCCAGCTAATTTTTTTTTTTAGTAGAGATGGGATTTCACCATGTTGGCCAAGCCAACTCCTGGCCTCAGGTGATCCGCCCGCCTCAGCCTCTCAAAGTAAAATTTTAATTAGTTGTCAACATTTTAAAATTTGGAGAATTTGCATAAAAATCCCAATTTCTAATACTCAAAAAAAAAAAAACTGAAGATCTGGGACCACCATACTCAACAACATAAGACTGGCTACCTGTCACGATGCCCCAGTCCTCACCATTCCCTATTGCCTTCACAACACTGAGGCTGGGTGTTCGTTTTTCTTACACATGTCCCAAATCCCCGCTCACTCAGTCACATCCCCTGCAAGGCTGCTGAACTAACTGAGCTCCTCAGTCCCAATCACCTTTAAAACTCTATGACTATAGTCCTGACACTTCTTCTTTTTCTCTAAATATATCTCATTCTTGGGTCCTTTTGGCAGAACCACCTACCAGTCATCACAGGAGTTCTTAGGCATAGCTGCACATTTGAATTACTGGGGGAGGCTGTGAGAATCCCAGGGTCTAGGCCACACATGATAGTGAGATCCAGGCAGCTTTTAAGGCTCCAGGTGATTCCACTGTGCAGCGTAGGTTGAGAACTTCTGCATTAGAGCTGAAAATGCAATGGGCTAGTTTAGGAGGGGGTGAGCTCCCCATTACGGGATGTAGTTTAGCCAAGGTGCATGAATACTTTGCAGGGGTGTGTGGGAGGATCCCAGCATCAGCTGCTGCCCTTCTGGGATTCTTCTCCTCTTTACAGTCCCCCTGCTTTTGCCCCTCAGAGCCTCCCAAGCTTAGCTTGGGCTTCCAATTGAGCATAGATGGTGCTGAGGTGGTCTAGGCAAGGGCTCCTTATCCAGCAAACCCCAAACTCAGCATCAAACATCCCCAAACCAGCACCATCCCTCCTGCTTCCTACATATTAGCTGATGACTAAGCAGATGGCCATGTGGGGTAGTCCCAGGACAATCCCATTAGACCAACCACATTCCTAGCCACCCACCTATCTGTTGGGTCTGCTTCATGAAGGTGAAAGAACAAGGACTTGGGGTCAGAAGGCCTGAAAGGAGGACCTGGCTCTACCCCTTGCCATCTGGGCGGGTTGCTCAGTCCTCATGCCCTGTGTGCAACCTGGGTCTGAAGTGTGGGCCTGAGTCGAGGATGCCCTGTAAAGTGGTAGGTGAGGGTAAGATGCTGAGAGAGGCCCATATCTCAGCTGGGTGATACAGAGGGAAGGGAGACGCTGTGGAGTGTGGTTAGGAAGGTTTGGAGAGAGAGAAAGGGGCATGAAATGGGCCTTTCAAATGAGACATTTAGCCCAGAGCTCAGAGCAAAGTGGAGACATGGGCCAGTTATCTAATAACCCTGATCACAACACAGCCTCTTAAAAACTCTGAGGCATCTTGGGAGTTCTTGAGAGTGGCACCAGTTCTGTACATAGCCGGGGGACACCCCGCCCACAGTCTGCCCCTCACATTCCCAGAACTTCTGGGAGACTGGTACCACCCCACCTCAGCCCTCTACCCACCCCATAGAAAATTGGCTGTGTTCCCCTGGAATCACAAATATAAGAGGAAAAAGCGCCAAACACACATACCTCTTCTGGGAAGCATCCTTTCCCATTCTAAAATAACCATCCACTTCTTCAGCCGTCATGAGCCTTAGCACAGAGACAGCAGGAGAGATAACTTTCCAGGACCCCGCAGCTCAGTGTGTAAGGCAGGCATGCACACCTCAACCCCTGGCACGCAGGTCTCAATGGGTGCCCAGAGGGACATACTTAGCACAACTCAGAGATAGGCGAAAGCTCAAAGGAGTCTCGATCTGAGCCGTGGTAGCAGGAGGCACTAGGAAACAGCACAGTGCTGTGGTATCTGCAGGCCAGACCTTCTGGGAGGGTGCAAGTGTTGGTGGGAGCTGAAGCTAGTGGGTGGCAGGGGCCAGGTCTTGCAGACTTTCTGAGCTATGGAACTTGGATTGTATATGGAGCAGGGAGAGATTGCGGAGAAATGCCTGGGGGGCCACTAGGTGGAAGATAGATCACGGTGATGGGCTGCCCCCGCAGAGACTTCTGAGAGATAGCGCAGGAAAGAAATGACGAAGATCTCAGTGTCCACAAACACTTGCTTCTGTTATTTTTCAACTGCGCTGTTTGCCGTTACCAGCCAGAGCCATTGCCCTGTTCTGTGTCTGCCTTTGTCCCTCCCTCAGGTTTCCAGTTGGAAAATTCAGCTGCCAGGAAGTTTCTTGGTCCAGACAGGATGAAATCAGAGAAAGTGCGAGGAAAGGGGTCTTCGAAGGACAGGGTTATGAAACAACTGCAGTTGTCTAGGGGCCACCCAGGAGGCTCCTGCCATGCCCAGGAGAATCGTGTTCACTCTGATTCTGGCCACCTAGGACCACAGCCTTCATCAGCAATGTCGAAGGGGAGATTCAAGTCACCCCAGCCCCATAGTCGGGATGGGGGTGTGTGAGAATGAGGATTCTGGAAATGCATTTTATTTCATCAAATGTTACATGATTAGGTGACTCACTGAACTTACATAGATTATTGGTAATCTATAACCTCGTCTGATTCACAGGTTAACACCTCCTACAAACACACAAACTAAAAGGATTTAAGGTCGACACTCTGGGATATTTTTTGGGTTTCCTTTTATGAGCTGTAAAAGGAACAATTTTGCAAAAACAAGAAGTGTTTGGGCTTCTAGAAAACCTGTCCCTCCACCCCAACATTTCAGCTAAAAGCACTGAATCATATTAAACAGTTTCATCTTTCAGCACTATGTAAATGTTTTCTCTAACATATCTTTACTTCTGGCCTGAATTTAATGGGTGAGTTTGATAATACAGTCACATGCATCTCTGCAGAGATGTCAACAGAAACCATGCTGGCCTTTGTTTTAGTTAGGGAGGGAAACCATGGAGTTTGCTTGAGGACAGAAAGATGTGAATTGTGTCTGGTCTAGAGACACAATGGTAAGAAATTTGTGGTAAGGAAAATGTCTTCCCACCAAGGCATACACATTGCCTTTTAAGGGATTCAGCCTAGGGTAAGTGGAAGCTTTTACTAGAAATAAAGACATTTGACCACACATGAGCATGCGTTCTGAGTCCCAGAGGGAGAATAACTGCGATGGAAAGTAAGACGATGACAAGTAGAATGGATGTTTTCCCACTTTGGGAGAAACTTCTAGATTTTCTTGGAATGTTGGGACCTGGAGGATATCTTAGAGATCACCTAGACTGTGCCTCATCATTGCATAAATGTGGAACATTAGGTTCAGCAGAGAGATGTGGCTTGCTCAAAGGCACACAGATAGTTGGTGGCCGAACTGTCACTAACACTCAGGTCTTGAGTTACCCTCTCCAAGCCTGTTTCCTAGTCCGTGGAATGGACATAGTCTCTTCCTCACTGCATTCTTGGCTAAGGTGCACCCTGCACCCTGCTCTCTTCACTTCTCTGTGTTTCCTCTTATAACCTTTTGACAGAGGACTTGAGGCAGGAAGCAGGGACTCTGTTTCAGAGGTGGATACATCAAGATGTAGTGAGCGGTCTTTAGAAGAAAGACAGTGAGCAGAACCCAGCCTTGCATGGCAAACCAGTGTCCAGGGCCCCCAGGGTTTTCACCCGCAGTCAGAGATGGGTATCAGAGAGGGAGTCCTGCGGCAGGGACAGCAAGGAAATCTGAAGACGCTCAGGAAGCAAGGACAGAGTCAGGAATGCAGATCTGCAAGGGGACACCCCATGCGACCCTCAGAAAGGCAGCAGGCACCACGCAAGAGCCAGTGTTTTCTCCGAGGTCAGCAAACTGCTGCGCGAGGGCCAAGCCTGGCCACACCCATGTGTGTTGTCTGTGGCCCTTTCATGCTACAGCTACACAATGGTCAAGTAGTATTGGGATCGTTGTGGCCCAAAAGCCAAAAATATTGATCATCTATCCCCTTACAGAAAAAGGTTGCCAACTCCTGCTTGAGCTGTCCACAGGCCTGAGTTCAAGTCAAGTGCTGCCCCTTTCTACCCAGGTAACTTGTGCAAGCCACTTTTCACCTCAGAGCCCCATTTCTGCATCTGTACCCACAACAGGTTTGTTTTGAGAATTTCATAAACTTATGTCTGTGACCGCACCCAGGCTAAGGAACAGTTCAGTTGCTTCATGTGCTTGTCAGTCCTCTGTGGAGGGAACCAGGGATGTGTGGCTGGATCGGTCCCTATGATTCCTGGAGTGGTAGAAGGCAGGCTGCTGGGCAGGATAAAATGTTTGTCTTCCTGGAAGGGATGACTCACAAACCCATGTTTCTTTATTTTTTTTTTTCTATTTGTTCTTTTTTCCAGATACTGGCTGACCAACAAAGTCCACATCAAAAGACCCACCACCGGCCTCTTGATGTATACCCTGGCCACACGTTTCTGCAACCAAATCTACCTCTATGGCTTCTGGCCCTTTCCGCTGGATCAGAACCAGAACCCAGTCAAGTACCACTATTATGACAGCCTCAAGTACGGCTACACCTCCCAGGCCAGCCCCCACACCATGCCCTTGGAGTTTAAGGCCCTCAAGAGCCTACATGAGCAGGGGGCTTTGAAACTGACTGTCGGCCAGTGTGATGGGGCCACGTAGGGTGGGCGCCCCATGGGACTCAGTGGCTCACATTTCCTGCCAGCTACACCACAGGCAGATGGGAGTCGGGGTGGCACAAACAATAGAACAAGCAGGCTAGTGGTTTTCTTTGTTAAAGTGTAAAACAGTGACCAGAATATATATATCTATACCTGCATATATATATTGACCTGAGTATTTATAACTGTGTGGTGTTCATCTAGCATTAGGCAGATAGGCCACAGGAAGAAGGTGTGGAGAACCCACCTGAACCAGACTGAGACTCAATCCATCTTTGGGAGTGGAAGGACTTGACATGAAAAGAAGCCAGTCCCATGACTTTGGATGACAAACTGCCTCCTGGCTTGGAGGGATCTTTGGGCTCATGGATGAATGGAGAGCCACCTGTTGTCAGCTGCCCCAAGCCTCTGGGATATGTGGATTCGGGGAGAGCCGAGGCCCAGAGGGGACACTTGACTCAGTCTAAAGTGGGTGCTATTCACGGAGGAGAGGGAGGTTGGAGAGTTTAACCAGACAAAGGAGCACAAGGAAGCCAAGCAGCAGAGGCCCCATCGGCACAGAGGGCCTCGTTCCAAGAACTTAGAGTTTGACTGCCCAAGGGACAACACTGACTCACATGTTTCAGACAGGCCTCCATGACTACAGAGAGAAGGCTGGAGGAGACACAATGAATGGTTCATGTTCTGGCCTAGCAAGAACCACCAAGAACGTTGGGTGAAGCAAGCAGATGACACTGAAGAGGAGTAATGTTCCGAATCATGTTTTTGAAAAATCAAGACCTCCTGCTAAGGGCCCACTAGAATAAGGCAGGAGAGTGTCTAAAATCTAGTTGCTTTGGGTGTTTTTTAAAGCAATGTGAGTCCACCGAGAAGAAAGAGACCCTGGGATTTCACCCTCTGGGTTAGTCTCTGTCTCACCCTGTTAGAATGTCACGAGGGACTGTACTGTCCCCTCTGCCACCAGGGAAGCCATAATGAGAGCTTGAAAGGGTGCTGTCAAGATAAATGCCATCCTTCTTAAAATACATATGATTGCCTTTTTGGGTGCTTCACAGAGCCCCAGAGTGTGAGACCTGAAAGAATGTTCAGCATCTAGCTCCATGTCCCTGCAACCACTCTCTGTTTGCCTTTTGCATTCTGCACTCTGCAGGGCCTTTGCAGCCAGACTGCTGTGTCAATGTCACTTTCTTGTCACTTTCCTACCCTGATGGTCACATTAGCCCACACCAAGCTCCAACACTGAGGTTTTCAACTCTGCAGGGAGAGGTTCCAATGTCCACCCCACCTCTAGGCACCCCCTCTTCTCACAGAAGCAATTTTAGAATTTTACAAAATCCTTTTCCCCCTATTGAGTTTAATATTTAAGATTTTTTTAAAAAAATACCCGAAGCCAAATGCAGTTCCAAATAGTGGACATAATCTCCCAGGGAAATCTAGGCTTGATGCCTACAACTTAGGAGCTGGAATCACAGGTCTCATGTAGAGAAATAGCCGACTTGATTGTTAGTTGTATTCCTTTACCTGATGAATAACAGTGTTTTAAAACATATTTGAAAGATAAGTAAAAAACTACTATCTTGAAGGTGAAGGGAGTTAAGAAAAGTAATCAAGACCTGCTCCTAAGCATATGAGACCGGATGTAATTAATCAACAGCAATGCAGAACAGGACCTTGGCTCTAAATTAATGGTTGACGGGAAGGGAGTGGAGGCGGCAGAACCATTAACCCTACACAAGAACACTCCAGCCCAAAACCGTGAGGAAGGTGATATATCTCTGCATTTTCCCTTGTTGTTGCTTGAAGTCTGTGATTGGGGATTTGCATTATAAAATGAATATTTTAAAAAGCAACAGCCCTAATAGCCTCTGTGGGAACTGAGTGGTTTCGAACTCCTCACAGGCGGTGGAAATAATTAGTACCATATTTTATACATCTCCAGAGCCTTTCATCTTGAGGATCTCAAAGACCCTAGAAGACATTTAATTTCTAAAGCTTGAAGTGTCCCGGGAAGCAGGTAGAATTTCCAGCAGGGCCTCGGTGGATTCCAGAATGTTTCATGGTAAGCGCTGCGGGGAACCCACATGTCAGGTTCTGGAGTTGGCCCTGAGCTCTATCCACCAAGCCAGCACCCCACCATCCATTTGCAGGGGAGTCAAAGGGCCAGAACTCTTTGGGGGACCAGAACATGGTTTTCTTTCTGCCTATCTTAGTCATGGCTCCTAAAATTGAAGCTGATGTGAGCTGGAGAGCAAGGAGTCCTTCCACCCTGCCTTCAGGTTCTCTCTGGAGAAAGGTTAGAGACCCCAGGACAATCAACATGTGCACCGTTCCCCCACTTGGCTTGAGTCCTGCACTGCCAAAATAGCCTGGCCATGTGATGGCAGAGCTCCAGGGGCCTTGGCTTTCCCTGGCTCATTGCCCTTCTCCATCTGGGCATGCACAGTCAGGGGCCAATTGTCCTTCCCTGCCCATTCGGAGTTCAATTTGAGCCTCCACTGCAGTTCCTGGTGTGGGCCAGCTGGCCTTGGGTGGCCCCAGGGAGTCACACAGCCTGTACCCGACCCCCAGATCCGCTGCTGTAACTGCAGAGTCACAGGCATCCCGGGAGAATGGGCCTCCAGCCTCAGCCGGCCCTCACTGCTGACAGGCACCCCTCTGTCACCTCCTGCCACCTGTCAGATGCCCGGTTCGCCTGCCATCAGCCACCCAAGTGGTTCTGACCTCCATTCTCCTCAAGCCCCAACAGGCCCCCATCATTCTATTCATGGAAGAGACGGAGCCTTCTGAAATGAGATCTGCCCTTAAAATCTCTTCTCTTCTCCTTCCCCTTTCTGAGAAAACATCGTCCCCACCAGTTAGGTTTCCTGTACACCCTCACCCTCTCTCCTCCACCTCTGTCACCTCTGCCCATTAGCACACGCTCACTCCACCTGGACTGCCTCCTGCAGCCTCTTCCCTTACCTCCACCAGCCCCGGGAAGGGCCTCCAGCACCCACGGCTGCCCTTCCTCTTGATGCCTCTCAGCTTCCTCCCAGCTCCTGGCAGCAGTGTCCCAGCGCCTCCACGTTGCCCCTCTCATCTCCCAGTTCTCCAGGCCACTTGGCTCTGCAGCGACCCCTCCTGGACGCTCCCTGACCCCTCGGCACCCAGAATGCCACATTCTTGTGTTTTTTAACTCCTTCTTTCCCAATCCCTGTCAGCCATGTATTTATTTATATATTTATTTATTTATTTATTTGTGATTTATTTATTGACACCCCTACTTTGATTGACAAAGGAATCAAGGTAGATCTGACCAGTATCCCCCTCTCTTCTCCTTGCCCCACCACGTGGACATACCTTACACTGGCATCCTCTCCTCAGTCCCTCTGCACTCTCAATCAGCAACCTCACACCTGCCTTCAGACCGGGCTGCACCTCCCTAAGCTGCCCCTACCCCAACCCCTCTCTGCAACCCAGCCCTCTCCTGAGCCCTAGGCTGGGATTGTACCTGCTCGCGGGACACTCACCCCATCTGCTCCCACAGCAGCACCATCAACTCAACACGTCAGAAGCCAAGTGGATCATCTGTGTCCCCTTCCCCCACAATCCCTCCATTTTCTACTAAAAGACCCGTGATCCCATCAGCCACCCAGTCTGAGATGCTGACGTTATCTTCGACTATTCTCCCATGTCCTGCCTTGCTAATTCTTCCCACTAACTCTAACCTCGCCTCTTTACTTGTCACGTGGACTACTTCAGCAACAGTCTCATCTGCCAGATTACCTCTGTGCACGCTGACACATTGTCCAGTCCACCCTGAACATGCACAGTGATTTTTCTCTCCCGTTGCACACAAATCTTTAAAAGTTCCCCGGCCCATGAACAAATGTACAATTCTCTATTCTGACATTACAGACCACTGGGTAAGGCCCCACTCTTCCTTTCCACCCTCCCCTGGTCAGCCTAGGAGAATTGTTTTTCCTGGAAAGGGTGCCTGCGTTTTACTGTCTCTGTGCCTTTGGTCTTGCTGTTCCCATCCCCTGGAATGCTCCCTTTTCTTCCCTTCAAAGCCCATGCGGAAACCACGTCCTTCATGAAGCCCTCCCTGATCTACCAACCACTGGGATCTCTCCCTCTGCTGAACCACCGTAGCACTTTATTTGTACCTTTCTCATGGCACTTACCATATTCTGCCTTGTATTATAGTTATTTGTGCACTTGTCCTATGACTGTTCTTAGACTGTAAGCTCGCCAAGGGCAGGGACTGTGTTTTATTCATCTGTATCCATCACAGCACTAGGTGTGGTGCATAGCACACAGCAGTTGCTCAATAAATGTTTGTTGGATTAAATCCTTAATGCCTGTAGAGGGCTTTTAGTTAATGAAGTCATTGTGCATCTATAATGTCACAAGAACCTCTGAAAAATCATGTGGGTTGGACCAAAGCAGAAGTCATTATCCCCATTGTATAGGTCGTAAAACTGAGGCCAAAAACCTGCATGAAGCCTCATAGCTTCCTGGTAGAATGTCCACCCAGGTCTTCTCATCCTTACTTCAGTGCTTTTTCTGTTCATCTTTGTGGTGGGGTCATTGTAAACTGAAAACTAGCCCTATGCAGAGGCCTAGACACAGAGACCCGGCAGACCTCAGCATGAACCCCATCAACACAGGCAAAATCTCGCTCCTTTCTGGGAAGGACAAAAGCCATTTGGGTTTTATGAGGCCTGGGAGGTGGAGCTGTAGGACCCCATCAATCATTCCCACTGCTGTTTGTTGCAGGGTAGGAAACCATCCTTCCAGATGGCAGGGAGACCAACAACTCCAAGGGGCTGCCATTTGATAAATCTCTTCATGCCTAATTAAGGCTCCCTTTCCAGAAGGAATGGAAGAGGGATGTTTACTGATGCCAGTCAGATGGGACTCCAGACAAGCATACGGCCTCATGAATGTCCTTAATGGTATCCCCAGTGACACTGACGGTCTGCCCCAGCCTCTGTCTCTCACCAACACTGCCGAATGTCATCTCTTCTCATCTTTATCTCCACTCTTTGCTTCCTGTCTTCAGGGCTTTTCCCTTGGCATTCACCAGGAGGAGAGTGAGCCCAGTGAGCTGAGTGGCATCCCTTCTTCTTGGGTCCCTGAGCCCTGACCTGGAGGAATGCTGTAAGATAGCAGGAAAGGGGGGGAGTGGGGAGCACTCTATGCCACTCCTCATGGAAGCAGAACAAAAACAGGCTTTTGTTCTGGTGGCAGGTCATCCACAACAATGGGATGTTTCTGTGGTTACCATCTAGAAGCAATATCTTAGTTGTTTGGGGATTTATGATGGGGGTAATGTAATTTCTATTCTTAGCAATCCAGGTGATAGGGCAATTTCCATATACAGTCCACTGAGCCATCCAGCCCCAGATCGTAGTTTCTCTGGAATCATCCTAGTTGTCTGCAGCCAAAGCCCAATAGAACCACCCAACAAAGAGCACTAAAGTTCCCTTGTGGCCTTTCTCAGTCTTCCTCACCACTTCTTCAGCCACCTTTGCCTAGAACCTGGGGGATGGGAAATGGGGCTACTATGGGCTTCCAAGAACCGTGTCAACAAAGATCTCAAGTTCTCCAGCCATGACAACATTTTTAAATATTTAAGAGCATTCTCCAAAACTGACCCAGCACCAGCTATGTGCGGCCATCCCTTAAAGAATTAATAGAAAATGAGGACCCAATGGCCAAGAAGTGGGAGGACTGCCGTGCAACCTACATGGACCCTAGCATGATGGGTCCAGGCAGTCACGGGGGGGAGTGCAGCCCTCCATGCAGCATACTGAGGCAAGTCAAGTGGGATTGGTGCAGGAAAACGCCCTTTCAATTTGTTTCCAAGTGTCTTTATTATCTAAAATGAGACTGTAATGGTGGAGCTGCTGGACAAAGTCAATGAAGGGATGACTGGGCCCTCAGAATCATGAATGCTTAAGAGAAGTTGTGTGTTGCAGGGAAGACCACTCTGGGGCAAGCTGTTTTACTGCATTCGCATTCCAGTGGCCAAGGTGGGCAAAAATATAACTCACTGTAATAACAACAGCGGGACAGGTTAACTGCATCTTGTGTTCACAAGTGCCCCATCTCTGGGCAGGAGCTCTGGAAGGAGTACCAGATAATCTGAAAGCCTGCCACACAAGAACCTAGAGGGCACAAATGAGACTTGGCTCTGGTATTTTTCCATCTGTAAAATGGAGAAGACAGCTACCGACCTCCCGTATGGAGTTATTGCAAAAACGCAAATATAGGACAAGGTAGATGGAGAAATTGGGTAGAGGGAGTGGGGATACTCAGTGTTATAAAGCAAATGAAATGTATGCAGCTGTGAGTTTTCAGGATTCTGTTTGTCCAGCATCAGATCACATCATTGCCCTGCTTAAACCCTCAGTGGCTTTCCTTCATCCTTGCAAGAAAATTCCAAGCATCTTACCATGGCTTCCAAAACCTTGAGCCCCACTCCCTCTGGCTCCCTGTCATTCTAGTGTCACGGCCTTTGCATTTGTTGTGCCCTCTGCCTGGAAATCTGCTTCCCAGCTCCTTGTCTGCCCCCTCTGCCTCATCTTTCATGCTTCAAATTGAATGTCACCTCCTGGGGAGCCTGCTCCTGGTCTCCCTCAGCTAATTACTTTCTGTTATATGACACATTATCCTGCTGGGTGGTCTTCATAAACTAAATTGTCTCATTTGTTTCGTAGTTCTCAACCCCAAGAACCCTCCTAAAAGATCCCAATGCTCAGGCCACACTCCACACAAGTTTAATCAACATCTCTGGAAGCTGATCATGGACATCTTCCTGGCTCACGCTCAGAACTGAGAAACAATGACATATCTGCTCACTAGTTTATGGTCTGCCTGCCCTTCTCGGATGTTCCAGGGGGACTTGTTTTCCACAGCGGTCACCTATGCCCTGGAAGGTGGAAGTGGCCATCCTCCAAAGTAATTGTTGATGACTCTGCTTGGGGTGCTGGCAACAGACCAGCAACGTGACCATATCCCTGGTGCTCTCAATAGGCACAGGCCAGCTTTGAATTTCCCAAGGGTGACACTGTACCCTCTGCAGCTCCAGATAAATGCCCAGCATTTTTACCCATTAGCTGAGCTAGTGGGTGGAATTTTTCCAGTCCCCATTTGACCTGCTCAGAGAATTTCATGAGCCTTGCCTTACACAGGGTTGTGCAGACTTTAGAACCCCACCCCCTAGCCCCACCCCCAAAGACCTTTACAAGCACAGCTGGACATTGGAACCACTGGAAGAGCTTTAAAACCTCCTGAAACCTATGCCTGGCCTTCAGGAAATCTGATTCCTTGGTCTGGCGTATGGTCCAGGCATCTCCTGAAGCTCCCCAGGTCACACAGAGGTGCAGCCCCAGCTGGGAACCACTGACCTAGACCCAGTTCCTGAACTTCTGTGACCACTTCCATGGTAGCCCCTCTCAGGCCCGTGGTGTGAAGTCTTTCTTTTGCTTCTGGCTTCTGAGAGTTTCCTTCCCTGATTCCAAGTTAGGCTCTGTTTTGTCTGGTGGGTTTTGTTGCCACTGCCATTGCGTTAGTGGCATCCAGGCCTCTGGATTGCCGCATGCTTGCAGTGGGAGGAAAGGCCTGTCTAGCATGTTCTCTACTTCCCCTTCCACGCTCTGTGAGGACAGGGGCCTTGTCTGGCGTGTTCACTGAGGCATTCCTGACCACTAGAACTGTGCCTGGCATAGAGTAGGCACTTTATAAACTCCTGCTGCATGAACAAAAGAACAAGTGTGGATGCTTCAAAGGAAGACTTGCACCCAGCTGACCCTCAGAGTGGGAAGGGGTCCCACCTAATAGGAAGAACACCAAGACTTCCCCAAGAGGAGAAGGAGGCCATGTGTCTGAACCCTGTGTGAGATGCTTTGTATACTAGCCCTTGTTGGGGTGTTGCACCCATTTTACAATCAAACAACCAAGGTTCTCAGAAATTAAAGACTCATTTAAGATGCCAAAGTTCACAAGTGGATGGTTTGATGCTGAAGCCAACATTTTTAACACCACCTCAGCTCAAAAGGCCTGAAGGCCACTTAATTCTATCAACCTTCAACCATCTTGTCAAAGGTGAGCCTGCACTCAGGAGTGACAGGAAAACGGAACTCAGCTTCCTGTAGCCCAGATTCCTCATAGGCTACTGCTGCACCCTGGCTCTTCCCACTGGCAAAGCAGATACAGACCCAGAGCACACCTGTGTAGCAATGCCAATTGTTCAAATGCTTCCTTGCCAGGTGGTCAAGAGCCATGGCTCTAAGCCCTCCATGTGCCCCGTGCTCCAGCACTGTGGCCAAGGTCCATTCTGATTGCTTCGAGTCCCTCTGTGTTGGTAAATACTTCGCATATCACCCATGTTCCCAGGTTCTCCAGGCAAAAAACTAGGGGCCAGGTGGCCGATTTGGGCATTTGGACCACTGGGCAGGACACCAGAGCCTCACTGCATTGGTGTTTCCATGGCAGCTACTTTGGGTGACTGGCTTTCCTCTCTTGTTTTCCATGGACACATCCTTGACCCAAAGCAGATATTCTGTGTAGCTCATGTGCGTACAGATTACAAACTCAACTGAAGAAGCATAGAGAGGCACTGGAAGAGGCATCTTATGAGAGTCAGCCAGGACTGGTAATGAGCAAACCCTCACCTTGAATAGCCTCTGAGAGGTACACAGTGAAGGGCCAGAGGATGACAGAAACAGAAAAAGGGTCAGAGGATGACCAGAAAAGAGCAGGACATGTTCACTGAGCACTAACTAGATGCTTTACATGGGCTAGGTCATTTAATTCTCATAGCTACCCATTTGAGGTTGACATAATTATTATTCTCACTCTGCAGAGGAGGAAACTGAAGCAAGAGGTTGATAAACTTGCCCAAGGCCAAAAACCTAATAAGTGGTTGAGCTGGGATTTGAACTCAAGCCCTCAGGTTCCAGAGTGTCAGGTTCCAGAGTGGTGAAGGAAGCCTCTAAGCTTGACCTTGATCTGCTGCCACTGAAGCTGATGAAGGTCATAAAATGGTCATAAATAACACCAGCTTCAGAGGGGGTGATGGAGGAAGGGGCTGTCTAGTCAAAGTGCTCAGTGCAGTGGCTGACACACGGCAGACATTCAACTAATGGACGGTAGCTCACTACTCGACTCAGGGTGTTGCAGAAGCACAAAGCCGTGCCAACATTAAATGAGGTGCTGACATTAATTTAGGGGTGTAGTCTGTTCTATCACTATGATCCTAACTGCAGCTTTCAGGTACAGGGAGACAGAGAAATGTACCTGTTTGGCTCAGGTCTAGAAACTGAGGCCTGAGATCAAGCCAAACCCATGGCATTAGACGTCGTAGATGAGTGATCCAGCCAGTTCCCACAGTTGCTGTCCCCACACCTGGCTCAGCTGCTAGTGCCTCTCCAATGCCAGCTGTCACCCAGGTCCACCCAGTGGGAATGCTCCTAGTGCAGCACCAGTGACAGGCTCTGGCTGCATAGCCCTGGGCCCATGGCTGCTGCGGCTGCCTTTTGAATTTGCCAGGGAAGCTGAGCATGCTTCTTTGCACACACGGGGCCACTTGGCTCAGTGTCTCAGAATGAGATGGTAGGCGGCCAGGCTGCTGGGAAAATGTGGAATCGCTCTCTGGCAGAGGCCAGCCTGGAAGTGAGAAGTGAAACCAACAAAGCAGAGGACAGAACAAATGAATGAAGAGCAGGAGTGCGAAATGGGCTGCAAAAGTATGGGGCATTGTCCTTGAATGCTACAAGACGCTACCAGCTGACCTAATTGGCACCCTTGCTCCAACAGTTTGCCTTGAAATTAAATGTTTGCATCAGGCTGGGTTACTGCAGGGAAGGGGTATCAGGCCCTCCTTTGCAGCATCAGGGAAAATAGGGGACCTCAGATGGCCCAGGCCCTACCTCTGCCTCCTCAGTTTCCTGACCCAGCAGAGTGGATCCAGCCACTCAATGATGAGTAAAGTGAAAATTAAAAGCTTGCCGGACTGGGTTGCTCTTGTGATTAAACCAGATAAGGAGCCTTAAGTTCTTCACCCACTCAGAGCATTAGATGCTTGGTAACTCATTGCTTCTCCTCTGGGGCTGCTTTCTCGGGCCAAGGGGTCAAGGACTAGTTTGTGGTAAGTTTTGCTCAGTTTCTACCTAGCTCAGCGTGCCTTCTTCACTGTTGAAGCAAGCAGGCATGGCCTGGCATGCAGTAGGTGGCCAATAATGAATGAATCCCCTCTTGAATGAATGGATGAATGCTTTCCAGTTTACTGAAATCTTTCATCTTTGGCTACTCAACAGTTTCTAGGCCTGAGTTTCTAGGCCTGAACAAAATAGGTACACTTCTCTGTCTCCCTCTACCTGAGAGCTGCAGTTAGGAACATAGCAATAGAACAGAGAGCACCCTCAGTTTAATGTCAGCACCTCATTTAATGTTGAAATGGCTTTGTATTCCTGCAGCACCCTAAATGAGTCAAGTAGCCAACCATCATACCTTCCACTTGTTGGGTGCTGTGTGCCAGCCATGGCATCGAGCACTTTGATTAGGCTGTTCATTCCTCCACCACCCCGTGTGAGGCTGGTATTATTTATCTCTATTTGATGGACAAGGCCCATGGCTTGTCACATAGCTAGTAAGTGGCAGAACAGGGATCAAACTCAGATTGAAACTTGCTTCTAGGAATCTCTGTCTCCCTAATCTATACAGCAATTGAAGCCTCTTCATTCGTTCATTCATTCATCTCCGTCTTAGTCAGTTTAGGCTGCTATAACAAATACACGAACAAACATTTATTTCTCACAGTTCTGGAAGCTGGGAAGTCCAACATCAGAGTACCAGCAGGTTCAGTTCTTGGCGAGAGTTTGTTTCGTGGCTTGCAGATACCCATCTCCTTGCCATATTCTCCCATGGCAGAAAGTAGAGAGACAGAGGCAAGCTCTGGTGGTCTCTTCTTACAAAGTCACCAATCTCATTCAAGAAAGCCCCACCCTCATGACGTAATTATTTCCCCACCTCCTAACACCTCCTAATACTATCACACTGGGGGCTAGGATTTCAACCTATGAATTTCAAGGGGATTTCTTTGCCCATTCATTTAAGAAACATGAGGGAGTGTCCACTAGATGTCCTGGCATATGAACACCCTGTGTTTGCTCCTGCAGGGGCTCGCAGTGCAGTGGTAGGAGGGGGAGAGGGAGCAGACACATAGGAGAGCGCTGTAAGAGCTGTTGTAGAACAATGGGCACACTGCTGTGTAGAGAGAGGGAGCACAGAGAGAAAGGAGCCCGGAACTCTGCTTGCAGGAGCTTACATCAGAGAGGACACTTCAAGGGAAGCTTCACAGAGGAGAGAGTAGCCTTTGAATACTTGCTGCTAGTTCTCCAACTCACCCATTTCAATGCCTTCCTCCTTAACTTATCCATTCTATCTAGGATCATCTTTACTGCCAAATGGAAGCAGAACTTTGAAATAAGCCTTAGGAACGTAGTTCATGTGTCCATGAAGGGAGCTCTCCTTTCCTCTACAGACACATGGACTGCAGGGGAAGAGTGAAGGCTGGGACACTCTGACCGTCATAACCCTATATCCAAAGCTTGGCACCCTTCCAGCTCCAGGGCTGTGAGGTTTAGTACACATGCATAGTACACAACCTACACCAATGTGCCACCCAATAGATCTCAACAAAAATAGGTCAAGAAGAGGTCTCCATGTGTGTGTCAAAGAGTATGTGCTTCCATTCATTCATCCAGCTTCAGAGACACCACTGAGAGCCAGCAATGAACTACGCCCTGCTGTGGACATTGTAGGACACACAATCCCTGCCTCAGGAAGCTCAAATCTAAGGGGGGAACAATTATGCACAACCAATGACAGAATGAAATAAAGAGGAAATGCCAATCCAACCAACTGGGGGCATTCAGAGGATTCACAGAGAAGGTGATAGATGGGCTGGACCTTGAAGAAAGACTGGGATTTTGATAGTGGGATGTTGACTCTCTGGTCTACACTTCTGGGAAATCTCCACCCTCTTCAATGGCAGCAAGGAACAGAAGAAGCATTCAAGCTGCTAGCTATCACACCACTGCCAACCCTGGCCAATTTACAAAAGCCACCAGGGGAATAAGCCTTGCCACCTTTGCCCAGTCTCCCTACTAGGTCGTGATGATGCCCCGGGTGAGGCCACCTCGATTCACGAGGCCCTTGATTTGTGGATAATGGTCTCAGCGATGCCAGAGGAGGGAGAGGCAGGTGCCCACACAGTCAACGTTGAGACCTGCAGTCTCACCTTGTTTTTGTCCAGCCCAAGTCCACCCCTTCATGCCTTCATTCTCTTTCCTCTTCACCTTCCCCCAGGGCATAATGAGACCTCCATGCTCCACTTCTAATCATAGTTTTCATGGTTTGTTTATGGATCTCCTGATTGTAATACCAGTCATCAGGCCAGCCATTGAGGGAATGCTATAGTTTCCTATACTGTCAATTGCATAAGCAATTGAGATACAGATCAGTTTTCTCCTGGAGTTTCTTGGGGAGGATGGATGTTTCCAGCCACCCTCCTGTTGGAGTCAAACTGGACAGAAATGGGGAGCTGAGGATGAAAGTGGTGGCTTCTCCATAGATCACTGAGCTAGGCAAGTGGGGCCCGGCACTGTCTCTAACCACAGCCACCAGCATGGGGTGGGGGCTGCCTGGCATATTCTCAGCTGCAACGTCTGTTCCACTTTCAACATCCACCTGTGCTTTGGGTCTCCTCACCCATGGCCTTGCTCCGTGGCTCCCCTCTCTTCATCACATCGCTTTCTCCTAGTCCTTATAGAACGAGACCCACTCTCTTGATTTATTTAACAATTTTAATTCTACCAACATAACAGAACTATGTCCACACACATATAAAAATAACATTATTCCTTTACAACCCACTTAAATCATTTCTAAACAAATACGTGTTCATTACTTGTCCTAATATACATCCTTCCTCCAAGATAATAGCTTTTATCATCAAATCTACCCAACAATAGATTTCAGTAAAACTAAATTTGCCTACAGAAAAAGTAGGCATTAGAGGGAGCTGGATACCCTTAAGTCATGACTGGCAGCCTGGCATGGGAATCCACAGTCACTAATAAAAGACACACAAAAGTCAGAGCCCAACCCAGCAACCACAAGCTCCTCTGACTACGTCCAAGATGGCCCTCCCATCTTCCCGGGCATGGAGTCTGCTCCTTCTCATTTCCTCAGCCATGGGCTTCACTGTGCCCAGGGTTCACATGCAGCGCCTTCATTTGCCTGCCCGTCTTGGGCTCACCCTGCCATAACCTCCCCGAGCTCATGTCTGCTTGTGATTCTTCTCTCTGACCCCGCACACCAAGTGGACCCCAGAGTGGCTGACCCTTGGCTCTTCTCTGGGAGCCTCCAAAGAAACCATTCCTGGTGCAGTCCAGATGGGTAAAGACAGGAATTTCCTGGGCCCCAACCCCTAGGCACTCCATTCCAGCTGGTGTTAGTGCAGAAGGAAATGCATTCAAGTCTCCAAGAAAAATAAAAGCTCAGATATGAGGAACCAACTTGATAGTACGTAACACTGAAATTGCTTCTTTCAACCCCAATCTGAATAACCATCAACTGATAATGGAAAAGACAC